CTTGTTTTTCTTCTGTTGCAGATATACAGTACACGCGTCTATTTCTTCAACCACGCCTGCGTTTAACCTCTGCTAAAACATTATCCTAAACTCTCGCTTGGCACAATAACCAACGGGTATAAATATTAGCTTAAGCGTAAACCTTTAAAAAAAACCGTAACAAAATGGAGTTTCAACGAGAGTTCTTCTTTAGTAAATAAACTCAGCCAGCTAAAAATCAGCTAAAATCGGTATTTGCTTCAAAATTGCGAAAAAGAAAAATAGAGACCTAAACTTGTGCTTGGTTACCTTCTGATGTAGCTGTAGTCAAATTCGAAGTTACGTCTTTGATAAGACATTGTGGTTGAACGAGTTGTACTAATTTATAATATCATATAAACAGCTGTGTATAAGTTGTAAGATGTCTGAATAAGGATATTAATTTATACAGGTCATGATTGGCACATTCTAGATTTATAATTAAACTTGAGTTCTAATCAAGAATGTCTGATGGCTTAGTTCATTATCTACCTTTGCAAAGCTAAACTAAGTTCCAGGCTATGTCCCCTTGTATATTCAATGAACCCTTTTGTTATATAGTTAAAAGATGCAGGTCTCTGTTATACAGCTTTTAATTATAAGATACCAAACAACTAGACATTATTGCTCACAAAGAAAATAATTGCTCCAATTCTAGAACTTCTCCTACAATGATTCTCACCTTTAAACTCACTCGAGAACTTTATAACTGAGAAATCCATGTATAATAAGCGTATTGTATAGAAGAGTGCTAGGATTTGGCCAATAAAGAAAGTAAAAATTTAGCCCAACTGTAAGTAAACGAAGCGGCCACCTAACTTATCTGTACAGTGTGCCATTAACCCTTTAACTTCTGCTTTGAACACCCAGTTTCTCATGCGAGAGAAGTCGCACTTGAATGGAAATAAAAACCAAACGCTGTAGTAATAAAACATGGCGGCTGGTGCTTCAATTATTGTTGGCTCAAAACTTATTTTAAATAATAAACTTCCGGTAGGTGGGTGGGGGTGGGAGTGGGTGAGGGCAGGCAATGAACAGAAATACCAGTGTAAAGTGAGCTGCGAGGGGGTGAGAGTGGGGGGGGGGGGGGGGGGGGTGGAGGGGAATTTAAAACAAAATGATGAAAATCATTCATTGTTAAACAGCTTCAAAGACAACTTCATTTACTAAATTTTTATACTGAAAAACAACTGATAAGGGAGGGAAAATACTTTTTGTTACGAATAATTATACATTAATAAACATATGTATCCTATATATACATACATACATACATACACACATATATATATATATATATATATATATATATATATATATATATATATATATATATATATATATATGTGTGTGTGTGTGTGTGTGTGTATAATACAATTGTATTTCTGCGATTACTAAAATATTACTGCAATGCTATGGATTTTATCATAGCCTCCATCCTGATCTAAAGATTGTATCCAGTACGCCAAGAAACATTGAAACTTCCAAAATCGCAAGTACTAACCAACTCACCTATCCTTATCTCTTACCCGGTGTCAGGGAGAGTTTAACGACCATTTTAACGTTCCCCCCTCTCTAGTTTTTAACTTTGTTTAATCTCCCCCTCCCCCAACAACACAGCGGCGTGCACCTACTTGAGAGTACTCACGCTGGTTTATTTTGTTTTGATTTCACCTGACCTGAGTGTGGGCTAGTGCCACTTACCACAGAGACCAACCCAGAGCTGGACATATCAACCAGGAGCAAAAGATCACCTCTATAAACACCGTTTGACGGTGTTAGCAGATGAAAGAGTTTTGAGAAATCATATTCAATATAGCTGAAGGAGAAATACTGTATAAAAATACCCAACTAAAAGTATAGGATAAGAGTCATTAATCTCAACAATTGTGAAAACGCCACAATGAAGAGCGCCCTTATATCAACTACTGTAGGAAAGTCTTAATTAAGAGCTGTGTTTGATGAATTATTGCGGAAAAATCTCCAATAAAAAGAAGTCCTTGAACAATTGTAAAATAGCCCCAATAAAGAACGCTGTTTGATGGACTATTTCCGAAAAAGCCCTATTGAAAAGCTGTGTTTGATGAACTATTACTGAAAAAGCCCCATTGAAAAGCTGTGTTTGATGAACTATTACTGAAAAAGCCCCATTGAAAAGCTGTGTTTGATGAACTATTACTGAAAAAGCCCCATTGAAAAGCTGTGTTTGATGAACTATTACTGAAAAAGCCCCATTGAAAAGCTGTGTTTGATGAACTATTACTGAAAAAGCCCCATTGAAAAGCTGTGTTTGATGAACTATTACTGAAAAAGCCCCATTGAAAAGCTGTGTTTGATGAACTATTACCGAAAAAGCCCTATTGAAAAGCTGTGTTTGATGAACTATTACTGAAAAAGCCCCATTGAAAAGCTGTGTTTGATGAACTATTACTGAAAAAGCCCCATTGAAAAGCTGTGTTTGATGAACTATTACTGAAAAAGCCCTATTGAAAAGCTGTGTTTGATAAACTATTACTAAAAACGCCCCATTGAAAAGCTGTGTTTGATGAACTATTACCGAAAAAGCCCTATTGAAAAGCTGTTTTTGATGAACTATTACAGAAAAAGCCCAATTGAAAAGCTGTTTTTGGTGAACTACTGCGGAAAAAGACACAATACGAGCCTTTTCAACATTTGTGAAACAGCACCAATAAAGAATGGTGTTTTATGAACTAGGGTAGACAAACCCCAAAAAAAAGCGCACCTTAAATGAATGTGGTTGAATAATCAGCCTCCGTATAAGGCATAAGGCGTCCTTAGATTAACTTTTTGTAAAAACGAGCCCCCATACAGGGCGTCCTGAGATGAACCAATAAAAAAAAATAACGCCCTAACATGAACGTGGGGAAAAAATGTTCCCCAATAGAGGGCGCTCTCTAATGAACGTGGGAAAAAACGGCTAAAGGGGGCGGAGTTAGCAAAAGTGAGTGATGGCTTCTATCTATCTAGTGTTAAAATGTTCCCGGTAATTTAAGAATATTTTTCCTTTTCTCAATCCCGTTCGTGCCCAAGACACATGGGGCAGGTGAGGAAGAGTTCATCTGATTCAATGACCATAAGATTTATAAGAATGCTATATTTTTTTTCAATTATTTTTATGTTCGGTCATGATGGGTCACTGAAATTTCAGATTGGGTTAGTGAGGGGTCGTATGAGGTAGATTTAGTCATACAGGGGTCGTATGAGGTAGATTTAGTCATACAGGGGTCGTATGAGGTAGATTTAGTCATACAGGGGTCGTATGAGGTAGATTTAGTCATACAGGGGTCGTATGTTGTAGATTTAGTCATACAGGGTCGTATGTTGTAGATTTAGTCATACAGGGGTCGTATATTGTAGATTTAGTCATACATGGTCGTATGAGGTAGATTTAGTCATACAGGGGTCGTATGAGGTAGATTTAGTCATATAGGGGTCGTATGAGGTACATTTAGTCATACAGGGGTCGTATGAGGTAGATTTAGTCATACAGGGGTCGTATGAGGTAGATTTAGTCATACAGGGGTCGTATGAGGTAGATTTAGTCATACAAGGGTCTTAAAATAGGACAGGGTTGTCTCTAAAGTTTGATAGAAAGGTTGTGTTGGTCATATAGGTTGTGTTGCAGGGGTCAGAGTAGTTTGGTGGTTGGTTTGGTTTTAATTATAGATTAGATAATACATTAGGTAATACATTCGAATTTTTTATTATATAGCGGTCATAGAAGGAATGTTAGGTTTAAAATTGTCATGGGAAGAACATTCGATTAAGTATTGATCACAGTAAGAAATAGATGGTACATAGGTCATTGAAAGGGTATTTGGTCAAGAGGGTGGGGGTATTTGTCGCTGAAGGGGTCACTGGATGTTGTATTGGGGGTCACTGGATGTCATTTTGGGGTCACTGGATGTTGTATTGGGGTCACTGGATGTCGTATTGGGGTCACTGGATGTCGTAGTGGGGTCAGACTGGGAAACAGGAAGTGTAAAAGGTTAGGAGTCTGGGAGAAATTTAACTGCTGGGTCGTATCGTTAACCGGCTGGCACCGATAAAACAAAGGTCAGGAACGTGTCAGGAAATAGTCGTGGATGCTGAAGTGTCTGGTCGATATGACGTAGGTCTTGTAGGTTGTGTCTGTTGTCGGACAGACTGGCGGTAGAACTTGACGGACAGTGGAGGTAGAACTTGACGGACAGTGAAGGTAGAACTTGACGGACAGTGAAGGTAGAACTTGACGGACAGTGGAGGTAGGACTTGACGGACAGTGGAGGTAGAACTTGTGGGACAGTGAATGTAGAACTTGACGGACAGTGAAGGTAGAACTTGACGGACAGTGAAGGTAGAACTTGACGGACAGTGAAGGTAGAACTTGACGGACAGTGGAGGTAGAACTTGACGGACAGAAAGGATTATCGGACTGATTAATGTAACAATTTATGTTGAGACTAGATGGAGAAGACACTGAACTCACGCTATAAATAAAAATTTTACAACGGAAAGCACCCTGTCAGTTATGTGATAGTAATTTGTGAAGAGGGGGGGGGGAGACAATTTTAAAAATAAAAATAGATAACTCCATAAGTTCATACGTTTTATATTTTAGAAGTTGTTATTCTGAAGTACAAGTTTTAGCTGGTTAGACTAAATAATCCTCTACAATAATAAGCTTTGACCTTTTTAATAGAATACCCTCTTTGACTTCTTATGTGAGTCTCACATAGCTAATTATAATTAATACTTTTGTGGTTAGCTATTAAGGTGAGTATTAATAAATCTACTTCTAAAAAAAAAATAATAATCTAAAATGAATATTGTTAGTATTAGCTATTAATAATTCTTTTAAAATATGGATTGCCCTTAGACTTATACAGCATGCGTCCAAGTATATAGATTTATATAATAGAAAGAGTGATATGAACATGAGTGAAAGCAGAAACGGGTCAAGTGACAAAAACACGACGTACCAGATGTGACAGGCAGCATCAGCGAGCACAGGACAACGAAGCAGACGATCGTCTCCGTCTGCCACGAGCTCGTCCAACGTCCCAGCTGTTTCCGGCACCTTGACCTTGACCTCGTACCCGGAAGTCGCCGTTGAAAACGAGGGCATAAGTTCCATTTGTAACGACCCATAGTCACATTTTAGTTACTGGTAAATCCCCCCAGTCGACAGCAGTGGATAGTTTCTTAACAACTCTCTTACAGAGTTATCCTCTCCTTGAATTATGAAGAGTTATTTCCCTTCTACACGTACTGAAAAAATTCCAAGAATTGTATTATCCGTAACATATTCACAAAACACTTCTTGCACATACGAATATCATAGATCCATATGTCAGTATTGATGTAATGCTAATATCAAAGCTTCTGTAAAGAATTACATATCCCACCAGTCCAATGGAGTCCCTGAGGTCACCAAGTTCAATATAGTCAGATCTCAAAAGGCCGAGTTATTCTACATTCTGAAAGAAAAATAAACAAAAATTTAAATAGAATGAAAATGCAAGCAAACATACTGGAGTAAAATATAATACATATTGCATGTATAGGCCTACTATAAACTTTTTGCCCACAGTTTGTGACCTGTGCCTGTAATTCAATATAGTTTATTCAATTACGCATCACTATCATACAGATTATTTTTTTATATATCATATCACCAAACAGTTTATTTACGTATTGAACCATCATACAGAGTATTAATATAGTGTATCACTATACACTTTATCCACATCTAGAGTCCCCATACAATGTATCCAAATTTGTCACCATACACTTTATCCATATTGTGTTTCACCATTCAGTGTATCTACATTCTGTGTCACCTTACACTGACACCCTGTGTCACCATACAATGACATCCTGTGTCACCATACAATGACATCGTGTGTCACCATTCAGTGACATCATGTGTCACCATTCAGTAAAATCCTGTGTCACCATACAATGACATCGTGTGTCACCATTCAGTAACATCCTGTGTCACCATTCAGTAACATCCTGAGTCACCATTCAGAAACATCCTGTGTCACCATTCAGTGTATCCCCGCCTACGCCACATCACCAGCCGACAACAACAACCTGACAGGTGATCCCCGCCTGACAAGGCCACATCCAATTACCAGACGACTTTCTCCCAGGATATACGCAACAAAAAACCTGGCTTCCAGTTTTGCCAACGATACTTGTCATGCTAATTGATTTCCCCCCCCCCCCCCCCCCAGCGTCGGTTTCTGCCATGGCGTCGTCTGCTGTTTCGTTCCAGCGCTCAACTGGATTGAATCCACGCCCAATCCACGGAATATCCGCGAGGTATATTCTAGGATTTCTGTGTAATGCTTGATGAATTTTAATTAAAGAATTACGTTTTTGAGAATTTTTTTAACCTTTTGAATCAAAGGTTTAATTTCTTTAATTAAATCGGTGAATATTGCGCTCTAAACGTGTGAGTTCGACGAACAATGCCTTTTATAGGAATTGACAAAACTCTCATTAAAATTTTTAACTAATCTCATCGCTTTGCACTTTTCAAATATTTAAATTACTTCCCTCGTAGTTAAAACAAATACATTTAAAAGAGACCTAACGCCTTTATAAAAAGCAATCGCGTTATAATGTGTTGAGTTCAGCCACACCAAACATTAGCGGTGTGGTCTAGAGCTGAAAGTCAAGAGTTTGGCTATGGCAGAGATCCACGTGTCTAGCACGATTCGAACCCAGTCTGTCCCGGCAATGACACAAAAAAAAAACATGTTCCCCACATCAAATACCACCACATAGAAATGTTCCCCACATCAAATACCACCACACAGAGATGTTCCTCACATCAAATACCACCATATACAGATGTTCCCCACATCAAAAACCACCACACACAGATGTTCCCCACATCAAATACCACCACACAGAGATGTTCCCCACATCAAATACCACCACATAGAGATTAAAGATGTTCCCCACATCAAATACCACCACACACAGATGTTCCCCATATCAAATACCACCACACAGAGATGTTCCCCATATCAAATACCACCACACACAGATGTTCCCCACATCAAATACCACCACACAGAGATGTTCCTCACATCAAATACCACCACACACAGATGTTCCCCACATAAAATACCACCATACAGAGATGTTCCCCACATCAAATACCACCACACAGAGATGTTCCCCACATCAAATACCACCACACAGAGATGTTCCCCATATCAAATACCACCACACAGAGATGTTCCCCACACCAAATACCACCATATACAGATGTTCCCCACATCAAATACCACCATATACAGATGGTCCCCACATCAAATACCACCACATAGAGATGATGCGCACATCAAACGTCACCACATGTACAATATAATACAGTATAATACCAGAGCAGTTTTATTCAGCAGTTAAGTAAACGACTAGAAAAAATTCCGTATTTGTAATCTTCTAACTTGGTTTTGTCGGTTCTTTACATGCAGCCATTTAAAAAGTCTCTGAGATTAATGCTGAATGTACTAGTTCCTACCTAATGAGCGCGAACAAATTCACCTTTCATTGAACTCTGAACTGCACTTAATTATAATTCTCATTACTGAAGTAATGCAACAGATACTAAAGTATCAAATTACAGTCATTCATTTTCCGGTGATTGTATTTTTCTGTGGGTGGAATACGATCCAAGAGGATTAGTCATCAAAGACGACATTTAACACCCGAGCAATCAAAAAATGAGATGGTAGTTAAGTCCATAATTACTTTTATAAATTAAAAACAGGTATTCCGATTCATCATTTCCTGCCTGATGTATTCGGTGTATTGTTCATCTATTTTTTGCACAATTTTCAAAGCTTATGCTGATTTATATTTCTGAAGTATGAAAAAGTATATTTGAAATGTTTAATGGTACATGCTATTTTGAGTAAAGTATCATATAAAAAATAAAGGACTTTTTAATAAAACAATCGTAGAGTCTTATAACAACACAAATAGAGTTCATATTTTATTTCCTTTTTTAATGCTCTTTACTTAATACGTCATTATAGGCTAATGACATTAAAATGTCAATGACTTATTAAAACGTCACTGTCGCGACGACCAAGACGACGTGTCACGTGATTTCAAATGTCTGGACCAATGGCAGAACGTCTGACCACCCACTCACGCAGACGATAATACATTTGAGATCATATTCCATTGTTTGATTTTTTCAGTGCTATTGTGGTTTTAAACAGTGATGGTTGGTTCAGTAAAAATGAAACCGTTATTTTAATAAACACCAAAGTCAGTAAAAACAGCTTTTCCATTAGCTCATTTTGTTTAAATTGATCAGTTGTTTTGGAAAACTTAAGCCAATAAACATTCATCAGTAAACATCTGTCAAGAAATAGTTGTCAGTAAACAGTTGACAGTTGCAAGTAAGCGGTTGCAGACAATACTTTGTCACAACATAAGACCAAATATAATCTGTCGCAACATAACCAGACAAACCTCTGTCACAACATAACCAGACAAAACTCTGTCACAACATAACCAGACAAAACTCTGTCACAACATAACCAGACAAAACTCTGTCACAACATAACCAGACAAAACTCTGTCACAACATAACCAGACAAAACTCTGTCACAACATAAGACCAGACAAAACTCAGTCACAACATAACCAGACAAAACTCTGTCACAACATAACCAGACAAAACTCTGTCACAACATAACCAGACAAAACTCTGTCACAACATAAGACCAGACAAAACTCAGTCACAACATAACCAGACAAAACTCTGTCACAACATAAGACCAGACAAAACTCTCTCACAACATGAAACCACACACTATCCACAACATCAGCCTGCAACCACGAAGGTACCTTCGCTAAATGGTCTAAAAAAAAAACCAACGCTGTCTATAAGGTAAATATTCTTTTAAAAAAAAACAAGAAAAAAAAAAGAGTGACAGAAACATAACCAACGTCAAAACGAGAACAGGGACTATCACAATAAAAGTCAAACGTCCAATAAAAAGTCGCCTGCGGTATGCTACCGGTGAAGCAACTCACCTGGAAATATTCACGTCTGCTAGAATACCTGCTAGAATACCTGGCGAAATCGAGCGTTCGATGTCTGCATGCTACCCTCACCACTCACCTCCGACCCCCACATTCACCGTCTGTCAGTTAAACGCCTCGCGCTGAGATACGCTGGCCAGATTTTTCTTGTTTTTTTGCGACCAAATGTATTCGGTGTGTGGCCATCGAGGCTAGCACCTGTCCTTACGACAATTAGCTTTCATTAGTAGATCACACACAGACCCATACCCACCGCCCATGAATGTAGTGGCTACGTATAATTGGATTTGTAAATTATTGCTAGATAAAAACACACCAGTAATAGTTGAAAGGACGAAGGGGTTAATTGAATTATTGCTAAATAATTAGAATTCATAATGAAAGATGAAAATATAAAGAATATGCATTGATTGAAAAAGACAACTTACAGAAATGTAATTACAAATCAAGTTTTGTGCAATTGTACATTTCTTCGAGTATAATATAGACAACTTTTTTTACAATAATTTTGTCACTACTTAAAATATACGTTAAAAAAAACCTTTCCATGGCAAGTCATGTGTATATTTTACATTTCATTCAGCCTAATCATTAACACGTGGTATAAATTATTCAACTTTCAGCATCAATAGAACAACGTAGACAAAACACACACAGAACTATTGGTTAACTGTATGAAGCGTATGTAAAAAGGTGTCAAGAATTAATGAATTATTTAAATCATCATTCTTGTTACTAGGCGATTACGTAGTTGGTGTATAGAGACTTGTCGTTGTCTTAGCTCGCGAGTTTTGTTACGCTATATAGAAGAATGGCTGTTTTCTTTTGACAGATTTTGTTGTCGTATTGGGCATGACGAACTCTAGATCCGACAGATCAATTCAGTTATTTGAAGTATAGATTGAGTAGTCAAATTTAATATGATGATTCATAGTTTCGAGAAGTGAATTCAATATAATGACAGAGATTCGAGAATCGAATTCAGCTTGAAGAAAATAGATTTAGGAGTCGAATTCACTTAAATGAAGCTTAGACTACGGAATAGAATTCAGTATTACTTAGCATATCTGAGAGTCAAATTAAGCTCCATGCAGCTTAGATTGGGGAATGGAATTCAGTATTACTCTAGCATATCTGAAGTCAAGTTAAGCACCATGCAGCTTAGATTGGGGAATGGAATTCAGTATTACTCTAGCATATCTGAGAGTCAAATTAAGCTCCATGAATCACGTGTCAGGTATCTCAATTAGCAGGAAAAACATGTATCCTATTTCATTATCTTAGTGCACTGATCTATTTCTTTTAATTGTCAGTTCATAATTAATAAAACACGATATTATATACAGACATACATTACACAGCTTTGAGTTATGGCGCATAACAGACTTAGGTCTATGAC